CTTTCTTTCTTTCTTCCTTTCACAGGGTGTACTGGCTGGTTTTGTGTGTCAACTTTTACAAGCCAGAGTAGTCATCAGAGAGGAAGGAACCACAGTTGAGGAAATGCCTCCATGAGATCCAGCTGTAAGGCCTTTTTTCAATTAGTGATCAATGAGGGAGGGCCCAGCCCATGGTGAGTGGTGCCATTCCTCAGAAGGTGGTGATCCTGGGTTCTGTAAAAAAAGCAGGCTGAGCTTTGGGGTTAATATCAATTTACCAATGAGTGCAAGTTGGAATACGCAAGGTACAACTCACAGACCACATGAAGCTCAAGAAGAAGGAATAGCAAAGTGTGGGTGCTTCGGTCTTTCTTAGGGGAACAAAATACTCACGGGAACAAATACGGAGACAAAGTGTGGAGTAGAGACTGAAGGAAAGGCCATCCAGACACTGCTCCATCTGGAGATCCATCCCATATACAGTCACCAAACCCAGACACTATTGTGGATGCCAAGAAGTGCGTTCTGACAGGAGCCTGATATAGCTGTCTCCTGAGAGACTCTGCCAGAGCCTGACAAATACAGAGGCAGATGCTTGCAGCCAACCATTGGACTGAGTGTGGGGTCCCCAGTGGGGTCCCCGATGGAGGAGTTAGAGAAAGGACTGAAGGAGCTGAAGGGGTCTGAAACCCCATAGGAAGAACAATAACATCAACCAGACCCTCTAGAGCTCCCAGGGACTAAACCACCAACCAAGGGTACACATGCAGGGACTCATGACTCTAGCCACATATGTAGCAGAGGATGGCCTTGTAGAATATCAATGGGAGGAGGGGCCCTTGGTCCTGTGAAGGCTGGAAGCCCCAGCGTAGGGGAATTCGAGGGCTTGGGAGGCGGAAGTGGGTAGGTGGGTAGGGGAACACCTTCATAGAAACTGGGGAGGGGAGATGAGATAGGGGGTTTGGGGAGGGAAAACCAGGAAAGGGGATAACATTTGAAATGTAAATAATGAAAATATCCAATTTAAAAAAAGAAGAAGAAAAAAGAAAAAAAAAAGCAGGCTGAACAAACCATAGGAAGCAAGCAGAAAGGCATCATTCCAACATGGCCTCTGCGTCAGCCCTGCCTCCAGGACCCGACCCGGTTTGAGTTCCTGCCCTGACTTCCTCCAATGATGAACTACGCTCTGGAAGTATAAGCTGAATAGTCCCTTTCCTCCCCAACGTTTTACCCTTGACATTTCTTCGAAGTAAGATCCAGGGTTTCCGTAGGTAGGTCTGGCTGGAACTGGTCAGTGTGTAGATCAGGTTGATCTTGACCCTAAAGAGATACACCTGCTTCTCCCTAAGGAGTGCTGGAACTAAAGGTGTGACCACCGAACTCTTGCATAGGTCTTTATATCAACAGATCAAGGTCTTTACCGTTTGGTGCTGGGGATTGAATTCAAGATCTGTGTACCTCTGTTATCACAAATGCTACGCCCCTGGGATCCTCTCTGGGCAGTCCAAGAAAATCCAGTTTTTTGTAGAGAACAAGGATCTCTACCCTCCGACTTGCTGACTTACATGTTACATATATTTGGTTTACCACTTATTTTGTTTGCTTGTTTACAGTTCTGCTGAAATTCTTACAGATCTGTTTGTTTGTTTCCAGAGTTCCTCCAGGTAGACCAGGCTGGCCCTGAGCTCACAGAACTCCCTGTGTATCACTGTTTAGTTGCTGAGTTTCTGAAGTCGGGCTGTGAACCTAGGCACAGTTCTTCTAAAGAGGGAAACTAAATTATTTTATGTTTTAACAAGCTCTCAGCTTCTCTAGGGAAGGTTATGCTGTATTGACCCTTTTCTGCCCAGTTCCTGTCACTGTCATACTGACATTATGGGTGGACAGATTTGTTGCTATTTCTCAGGACAGGCTGTGACCTGTAGCCTAGGAAATTGCCGGCTTTTGTTTTGGTTTGGGGGTCACTCAGAGATAAGCCACGATAAGCATGAATACATTTTAATAAGAGGAGGCCTTTTATTTCTGGCACCTGGACTGATTGGGGTCGGGTCTGAACCTGAGGCTTCTAAAGGCGGAACCCATAAGTTACATGTATTCTGTCTATGTGTACACAGCATGTAAGTCTGACTTATATGTCTTGCAGTTGTCCTAGCTGTCTTTTGAGCAGAGTAAGCAAGTTTGATTAAAAAGCAGAAACAAGCCGGGCAGTGGTGGTGCACGCCTTTAATCCCAGCACTTGGGAGGCAGAGGCAGGCGGATTTATGAGTTCGAGGACAGCCAGGGCTACACAGAGAAGCCCTGTCTCCAAAAACCAAAAAAGAAAAAAAAAGAAAAAGGCAGAAACAACAGTTAGTCTTATGACCTACTGTGGTTTTATTGTTGTTGTTTGTTTGTTTCTGAGACAAGCTTTTCTGTGTAGCCCTGGCTATCCTGCTATCATTCTGTAGACCAGGCTGTCCTTGAACTCACGGAGATCTGCCTGCCCCTGCCTCCCGAGTGCTGGGATTAAAGGAGTGTACCACAACACCAGACTAAGACCAACTATCTTGCAAAAACATCACATTTTATAAGAGCAGACAATTTAAAAATACTCTTCCCTAAGCAGTGGTGGCACACACCTTTAATCCTAGCACTTGGGAGGCAGAGGCAGGAGGATTTCTGAGTTTGAGGCCAGCCTGGTCTACAGAGTGAGCTCCAGGCCAGCCGGGGCTATACCGAAATCCTGTCTTAAAAAACAAACACACAAAAACTAAGCCAACCAAACAAAAAGAATAGTGTTCAATGCCTAGGGAAATGAGGGGAGTGGGTTGCTGGGATAGTCTGGACAGGCTGGGATAGACGCTGGACAGGCTGGGGGCTTGCACAGGTTTGCTTTTTGGTCTTTCAAACGTAGTTAAGCCTATACTTTAATATTAACCATCTCTCCTTCACAGGGCTGGGATTACCAGAGCTCTCTGTCATGGCCAGCATTGTTTTTGATTTGCAATAGACCAAGATGCAAACAGCAAGTGTCACACTTCGGATTGGAGGCATGTGAGAGCCACAGTGCCCAGCCTAGTCTGTCGGCTGCAAAGGCTGCTGATGCAACTACCAGTACCTTCTGTTCCCTCAGTCTCAGGTTCCTCCTTCTTCAGCGTGACACCTTGTTTGTTTTTATTTCACAGGCTCAGAGAGTAAACACACATCCCCCACTCCCCACGTGCTGCTGGCCACATCCGAATGGTGTTTATAATAGAATGGTGTTTATAATAAACCGTAGCCTTTGCTCTGGCATAGTGTGTCCTCTGAGGGACAACATGGGACGCTTCATAGAAGGCGTGGCGTTGATGCTGGGGAGGTGTGTGGTCCCCACAGATTGGGAACTGTGTTCTCCGGGGGACACCTCTGCTTCCTTCCCATACCCCAGTAGCCAGTGAGGAGGTGCACCAGAATGGAGAAGAGACCGAGGCTAGGGCTAGAATGTGAGGAATGTGACCTAGGCAGGAGTGAGGTCGGGGGTCAGGGAATACCTTCCAGCCAGTGAGCAACACGGAACTCGCTGGCATTGTGTTTACATTACCAGGCAAAGGAACAGCGTCGGCATCCACACACCTCACTGCTGTTCAGCGAAGGCTGATTGACAGCCCATGGATAATAGACCAGAGGGGTTCATCTTGGGAGCGGCCAGTCCAGGGTCCCAGCCACCACGCTCACAAAGAGCTTACCCTCCCCATGGGCACGGGAACAAGAGGCAGAGTGTGTTCAGCTACACTTTTACACGATGTTAATAGTATCATGTAATTTAAGTCTCTCTCTCTATATATATTTTTACAGCAAATTTTGCCGCGTTGCTCAGGCTGTCCTGAAAAGTCCCCATCCTCATGACTCATCTTCCTAAGGTCTAGGATTACAGGCCACCGAGTGGAGCCTTCGCTTAACGCTATTGTTAATCAACGAATGTATTAGGTAATATCTGTTTGCTTGTTGGGATAATTTACTGAGTGGACTGCTAGGGGGCACAGGGTCTCATGTAGCCCAGGCTGGCCACAAAGTCACTAAATAGCCAAGAGTGATCTTGCAGTTCTCATCCTCCTGCCTCGACCCCCCACCCCAAGTTGGGATTAGAGACCGCCAGGCAAACGGCAGTTTTAATAATAAAAAAATAGGCGATATTGTTCTACAGGGTCATGAAGCGCAGAGCTGCGGAGGACACACCAGACTACTTTCCTGAGACGGAAGTTTCTAGATGCCTTGTGCTACGCGCGGAAACGTAAGCGGGAGAGCAGGTTGGGGACACGAGGAACTCCCACCTCACTGAGCACCAGACCCTTTGCAACCAAGGCAGCCACCGTGGCAAGTTAGCTTAGATGCAGTGTTGCTAGGCGACAGTAGCTTTGGTTTATAGTTTCCTTTGCCAGATTTTTTTTTTCCCCACGGCGAGGCCACCACCTATGCAAATGCCCTGGCAGCGGGCTGGCTGCTAAGGAGCCTCGTTAGCGCAGTAGGTAGCGCGTCAGTCTCATAATCTGAAGGTCGTGAGTTCGATCCTCACACGGGGCATCCTGCATTGTTTTCTTGCAGAAAGCAAAACTCCTTCATTCTTCGCAACAAATGGGACTTGTGGGAGGGGTGTGTCATGCTGGGGCGGGGCTTTCCCCTGCGACCCTGTTTTAGTGAGCTGGACATCAAAGGTTTCCGGCCAAACGCCCTGGGGCGGAGCCTGGAAAAAGGGTGTGGCGCCATGCAAGGGCGTGTGCCCAAGAGAAGGCGTGACCACATGTAGGGCGGGGCTTACGGCTCAAGGGGCGGGGCGAAATATCTGAGTGGGACTTTGAAGGCTGTGGGCGTGTCTAGGGGGGGCGGGCCCTATTTTCTTCGAGGGGCGGGGCCAATCCTTGCGGGAGTGTGGGGAAGCAGTGGGCGTGGTCACGCTTGGGGTGGAGCTTGAAGATCCAGCGGGCCGGACTACGGCCGCCTCGCCGCCTGCGCAGATCGCCGTGCGTGCGCGCTCGCTCGCGTGCGCGCGTCCGCGGTGGTGACGGGCATGGCGGTGTGTGCTCGGCTCTGCGGCGTGGGCCCCGCGCGTGGGTGCCGCCGCCGCCAGCAGCGGCGCGGCCCGGCCGAGACTGCGGCGGCGGACAGTGAGGCGGACACGGACCCCGAGGAGGAGCGCATCGAGGCGGGGCCGGCGCGGTGCTCCCTGCTGGAGCTGCCGCCCGAGCTGCTAGTGGAGATCTTCGCGTCGCTGCCCGGCACCGACCTGCCCAGCCTGGCGCAGGTCTGCAGCAGGTTCCGGCGCATCCTGCACACGGACACCATCTGGAGACGGCGCTGCCGCGAGGGTGAGCGGGTGCATCCCCTGTCACGGGCACTCGGGCCGAGGCAGGAGCATGGTGCGGAGTTCCAAACCAGGCCTGCTGCAGAGTGGGAAGACCAGACAGCTAGCAGGCCTGCTGCAGAGTGAGACCCTGTCTTAGAAAACCAGACAGTCAAAAGGCCTGGGCTGCAGAGTGAGACCCTGATTTTTAAAAATCCCAGCCCCCGTCCCCCAAAACCAAACCTACAGCCCACCCTCCCGGTGCAGGAAGAGTGAGGACGCAAAGTGGTTACAGTCCCATTTGGAAGGCCTTCCTTCCATGTACATACAGCACGGTACTCAGCCTGAGTGGCTTGTCGGTATGTGTCCTGAAGCCTTGCTGGTGAAGGGAACTTAACGGATTCCACTGCCTGCGTGCCCCACAGGCTAATGCCCTGACGGTGGGCTTCGGCATTTTCTGTCTTCTGGCCATGGCATGCTAGAGACTGCTTTGTGCATTTTATAGAAATCCAGGGGATTTACATCTGTCTTCTGGAAACCTCTGGGGTGGTTGGTCTTCATGGGTTTGCACTTTCCAAAGTGGGATTGTGGGATGGCAGGCTGTGTGAGAAGCGGTTTCCCCAGGTCCTCCCCGCGGCAGGGTTCTTGTGTGATTTCACGGTTGACATCGGAGTTCTGGTTTGTCTCCACTTACCCACGGTGGGAAGTTGGGGGTAATTTTACCCCCAGATCTGAGTGGGAGCGTTTGGTGTCAGTGACCCTCCTGAGGGCAACTTGGGTCGGAGCTTTTATAAGGAGAAGCATGTAAAGTCCTCAGTCCTAAATATGGCAGTTTGGCCTGTCTTTTGGTCCAGGTGTGATGTCTTATTTTCTTTTGTGAGAATCCTCAGTAGTAACCTTTAGTCACACAGGATAGGTGAAGTTTGTTTTCAGCTTCTCTCTGAGCACTGTGCTTTCTTTTTACAAATTACTTCGTTTATTATTATTGTGTGTGCGAGAGAGGGGGGGGGGAGGGGGGGAGGGAGGGAGGGGCATGTTTGTGGTTAGAGGACATCTTCTATTCAGGTTGTGGTAACCCCCAACCATACAATTATTTTATTTTTTGTTTGTTTTTGTCTTTTTTTTTTTTTTTTTTTGAGACAGGGTTTCTCTGTATAGCCCTGGCTGTCATGGAACTCACTCTGTAGACCAGGCTGGCCTCAAACTCAGAAATCCACCTGCCTCTGCTTCCCAAGTGCTGGGATTAAAGGCATGCGCCACCACTGCCCGGCTCAATTCTTTTGTTGCTACTTCATAACTGTAATTTTGCTACTGTTACGGATGGTAATGTAAATATCTGTGTTTTCCCATGGTCTTAGATGACCCCTGTGACCCCTGTGGAAGGGTCGCTCCACCCCCAGTAGGTTCTCAACACACAGGTTGAGAACTTCTCCTCTCTGGGGTCAGGGGATGGAGCTCAAGTTGTTGGCTTATGCAGCAAGGGTTTTCTCTTTCCTGCTGAGCTGACTGGTGCTCACCTGATGGTTAGGGTGTGCACCTGTGACACTTCAGCGTGCTCTCCGTTGGCCAGCTGAGCTTGTGCTGATCTTGGGGGAATTGCAGGAGGCTCAGCTAGGTAGGTCATTGCTAAGATCGAGATCACAGACTTCTGTGAAGCTAGAGGTGTCCTCCGGCCATGCTAACTGAACTGCAGCTTGGGGCACACTCTGAGAGTTGTGAATGGAAATGTATAGAGTCCCATTGCCAGTGTAGAAAATGGTGGGGACAGCTTGGGAGAGCCTCTTCTAGCCCCCTCTTCCACTGACACAGCTTCCCACAGTTTGGTGGGACTCCAGAGCCATGACTAGAGAGCAAATCATCTCACCTACGCCAGGATTCCAATTGTGAGAAATCAAAGGCTCAAGGACCAAAAGGCTGCCAAGTATTGATTGAGCCACCACACCTAGCATTTTAAAAGATTTATTATTATTATTTTTATGCGTGCGTGTATTTGTATGCGTGTATTTATGTGTGTGCGAGTGTGTGCATGTGGTTGCAGGTACCTACTGGCTCCAGAAGATGGGCATAAGATCCCCTAGAGTTGCAAATGGTTATCAACCACTGCATGTGGATGCTGGGAACCAAACACAGTCCCTCAGGAGAGCAGCTTGTGCTCTTAACTGCAGAGCAATCTCTCAGCCCTCACCTGGCATTTCCCACTTTGGTCTGTAGGTTTTATTCAAGTAATCTGGGAGGATTTCCGTTTCATGTTTCTTTTGTGTTCACTTGGTTTTGAACTCTTGGGTAGTTACTGGCTTTAGAAGTTTGTGCTGAGGTGCTGAGCGGGGCCACTGGGTTCTTGGCAGCCCTTTGTGAGACAAGATCTCCCAGTGTAGAGGAGGGTAGTTTTGAACTTTTCATTCTCCTGTTTTTAACACACACACACACACACACACACACACACACACTGGGTCACAGCCTTGTCAGGTCACCTGGCTATTCAGGAAGGTGTACTCTAATCCATGGGGGTCAGGAAGAGCTTGACTGGTGGGCCTGGGATTTGTGGGTCTTCCTGAGGCAGTCTCTTTGTGCCTAACTTCCTGAGAAATTGCTGTGTGAGAGACAGTGTTGCCCTTATTTCTCTGACCAGGGTAGCCCAGTCAAGTCGACAGGTTCTCTAGTGCAAGAGTGAGGATTAAAAAGAAAAAAGACAATTAGTCGACATTGTAGCATGACCCCAGTCAGTTCTGAGGTTTATTTTTTCCCAATCTGCTTTTATACCATTTTAATTACATGCAAGTATTTAGTTCAGTTCTAGTTCTAGGTTGAGGTTTATTTTTTCCCAATCTGCTTTTATACCATTTTATACCATTTTATACCATTTCATACCATTTTAATTACATGCAGGTATTTAGTTCAGTTCTAGGTTGAGGAACTAGCAATACAGTAAATGCAAATAGTCAAGGAACAAGCCAGGCAATAAGCAAAGTCCCGTGATCACTGTCAAGATCACTGTTTCTAAGGGCTTATCAGATTTGGAGTGGCTCCAAAAGCTCTCTACATTTCTCTGAGCCCTTGAGCATCTTCTTTCTTGGATTCCAAAATCAAGTAGATTTATGTGAAAAACAACACACAGCCCCTCCCCCGTGAGCAGGCCTGGACCCTCTCAGTGTCTGTGGTTTCCTGGCAGGGCTGTGGTGTTTGGTAGTCTCCGTTTGTGGTGTGTCCCAGGGAAATAGGTGAGGCTAGTTTAAGGTTTATGAATCTGTTGCTGGGATTTATTCTTGCTGAGACTTAAACCAGGACTGACCATCAAGGCGTGGACCAAACACTTGTTTTAATAAGTTTGTAAATGGTCCTTGGAGGTTTGTAATCTAGTTTTCAGGAAGCTGAGGCAGAGGGATCAAAAATTCAAGACTGGCTTGGGCTATAGAGTGAGTTCAAGGTTAGCTCTTGTCTCAAAACAAAAAGTAAAAAGAGTCTGGGTGTAGCTCAGAGGGTGGGCGCTGGGCCAGCTGAGCGAGTCCCTGGGCTCTACTCTTGTTACCTCTGAGAATGAAAGCAAATGAAAAAGCAAACCTGTTCTTTCTATCAGGTAGCGTGGTCTCCGACCAGGAAGTTACTAGGACCCTGGGATGCTGTCATTGGCTGTTAGACACAGCGAGTGCCTCAGGACCTGTGTCCCGATAGTGACATGAGCAGTTGCCACCTTGGTCCCTCTGTTCTGCTGGTCAGGATGTAGAGTGACTTGGGGGAGCTGGGCAGTGATGGAGTCCTCTCTGGAAGTTCTTCTCTGGGCTGGTCAAAGACTGCCTCCTGTTAAGCCAATTCTGCCCCTGGGGCTTGTGCCATAGGTGGTAGTGTCCCCAGAGGAGAGGGACAGACCTAGCACCCAGCCACCTGGGCATAAGCACTTTTTTTTTTTTTTTTTTTTTTTTGATGCATCACCCCCTTGGCCAAAGGCCAACTGTATTTGTGTCCTGTGGGAAGGGAGGGCTGTAAATATATCCTCGTCTCCAAAGCAGCAAGGGCAGGAGCCTCAAATACCTGCCCTTGCCTGACAGGACTCTGGTTAATGCTCCACCTGATCGGTTGCTGGCCACTTCTGATGCCTCATGGCTCAGTGTGTGCTTCCCTAAAGCCAGCCCAGGGCTATCGACATCTCAGGCCCTGATTCTAGATCAAACTGCTTGTTCATACTGGGGCTGGCAAGATGGCTCTGTCAGTACAGCACCTGCCATTAAACCTGATGCCCTGAGCTCACTCCCTGGATCCCACCCTGTGGGAGTCCTGCAGGCAGTCCCCTGACTGTAATGACACCCGTAGTTCCTCTACAGTGGTGTGACCGGGTCTACTGAGGGCTTGCTAGTTGCACCCCTCACGCTCTGAGAGGAGAGGCTAGTGCCCCTGCTGGAGCTTTGTTAAGTAGCTGAGCTTGGAGGGGCTGCCTTAGGAGGATGTCTGAAATCCATTTAGGAATATTTAAGGTCCAGTGGACATGTTGATGGTGCATGGCAGAAAACACAGGCTGTTCAGAAATAGAGGGACAGCAGGGCCTCATCCTGGAGGAGCGAAGGCCCAGAGTTGCGAGGTCCCCCCACCCCCACCCCGTCTCACCCATCCCTGCTGGAGAAGCAGTTTGGCTCTCAGGTTATATTTTATTTTTTCAAGATTTAATTTATTTGTTTTATGTGAGTACACCGTCGCTGTTTTTGGATACACTCAGAAGAGGGCATCAGATCCCTTTACAAATGGTTGTGAGCCACCGGGTGGTTGCTGGAAATTGAACTCAGGACCTCTAGAAGAGCAGTCATTGTTCTTAACTGCCTCAGAGATGGCTCAGCGCCCACTGAGTTGTATTTTTATGCTTTTGTTTTGGGTTCGTTTCTTGTGAGGCAGGATCCCATGTGCTTGGTAGCCTAGGGTGTCCTTAAACTTGGACAGATCCTCCTGCCTCAGCTTCCTGAGTGCTGAGATTACAGATGTGGGCCACCATGTGTGGCTTCAGGTTTTTGTTGGTGGGGAGTGGCTTAAGGATCAAACCCA